CCTCAGGCAACCGAGGCGGAGGTGGGGCTCCGGAAGACCGCTGCGGAGCCGGAGCGACTGAGGATGGAGGCAGAGCCGGAGGGAAGGAGGAGCCTGACAGAGCCAGAGGGACGGAGTGAAGAGGCGAAGCCAGAGGAGTGGAGTCCCGAGGCATCGGATGGTCGACGACTGACCAAGGCGGAGCCAGAGGGACGAGGGAGCCCGGTGGAGAGTCCAGTGACCAGTTGCAGCTCACTCTCAGCGGTGGGAGTGTGGGCGGGGCTTCCCTCCAAGCCCTCGATCTCCACCAGCACTTCCTCGGGGACGGGCGATGTTGTCGGCTCACGCACCTGGTCAGAACGGTCTTGAGGCTCATGCTCCTGGGTGAAGATCGGCTCAGTCGCGGTCTTGCACGCTGGCTCTCGTGTCGCGGTAGGCTCAGGCTCTCCGTCTGCGGTAGGCTCAGGCATCTGCTCCGTGCAGCGGGATGACGGCTGGCTGGTCTCTGGTTCGTGAGTGGGGCTGGAGATGTCCTCCTCGGCGGGGCAGACGGAGAAATACAGTCCATTTCTCTCCAGCACCCACTCCACGAAAGCGGCGAAATCCCAGAGAAATACAGTCCATTTCTCTCCAGCACCCACTCCACGAAAGTGGCGAAATCCTCCTTGGGACCGTTCGCTGGTAGGCGTGCCTTACACCGCTCGCTCAGGCTGGTGTGATAGAATATGCCGAGCGAGCGATCCGGGAAGTGTGTAAGGCACGCCAGATCTACAAAGTCACTGGTATGGTCCTCCAGCGAACGGTCCTGTTGCTCCAGGCAAAGGAGTTGAACGGCTGGGATTGCCATTCCTGGAAGAGGGGAGAAACAAAACAAAAAAGAAAGAAAAACGCCGCTAATCTTACTCACTTTGACGGGCTGCTATTCTGTTACGTAATGGCTACGGAGGTGGAACGAGGAGACGAGGAGACACAGGCGTAAACTCAAAATACAGTCTTTTAATCTTTGCTTCGGGGAAATACAGGGCAGGCAGACACTCACGTAGCACATAGGGGAATCAACTCAATAGCAGACAAAGGAATATTAGAGAACACAGGTTTTAAATACTGGGAATGTAATCAGGGATAAACAGAAACCGGTGTGGAGCTAATTAATCAAAAACCATGGAAACAAACAAGGCAGGAGAAAGGACACACAGAAAACTAAACCAAAACAGATCATAACCATAACAGTCGTGAAGCCGCTGTGTGTTTCGTTGTGAAAATGAAACTACTTTGTTTGGCCTTCCAAAAGCGGACGGTATCTGCTTCGTCATGCCTGGAGCTGATCCGTGCTGGTCGCTGAGGAAATACATCAACTTATTCATCAAAAACCATGGAAACAAACAAGACAGGAGAAAGGAAACACAGAAAACCAAACCAAAACAGATCATAACCATAACACTTGATGCTGTGGGGTTGCTGTTGTCTTTACTGTTGCCTTAGGTTTGTTTGAGATCTCCCTATGTACAGCCTTTTCATCCACAATGTCTTCATGGTCCCCCTCCAGGGATGACCTTGGCTGTGGTGGCGAGCTTTGTTTTGCAACGGGACCCTCAGGCACTGAGGACTATCAACAGTTTAAAAACAGATCAGATTTTTAAGGAGCCTCATGAAACAGTGCTTCTGTTTGTCTTTTAAATCAATTTATTTTTATTTTTTGCAATACATCATTCCTAATTTTTTTCAAGAGACCAGTTGTTTCAGTTGTAATTTATATTTAAGGGATTTTGGTGTTACATATGTTAGAGTACTAAAAATGTTTGGACTGGCTGAAATTTCCATGGGTGCATAAGAATTAGGACTGTTATGTTATGTGAAGATTATGAATTTAATTTACTTCTGTAAAACACATGACAGCATTACATTGACACTATACCTTCTTGTTTGATGTCTTGGAAAGGAAAGGCTTGCGGATTGGTGTGACATATCTTACCCACTTTTTCTGTTGCTTTTCTTTCCATCTTTCTTGTTCTACTCTGTAAGTCTACATAAAGTAAGGGATTTGTAGATTTGGTTTACATATCAAAGCATAGAATGGAATGAGAAACTACATGTAATTCTCCAAATATAGTCTTTTCCTTAAAAAAACTAATACCCATCACATCTTCAATGACACATTTCTTAAAATATTTGAACCTTCCTAGAACCTTTTCCCAGCCTTGATCTCATCAGTATAACAGTGTCATTCAATGCATAGGTGCTGATCCAATCAGTCTGACAGTATCGCCATACTTTCGCATTATCACAGAGACAAAGGTACAGCTGTGCTTTGAGCTTAAAAAGCCAGATGGTCAGGAAGAGCATAAAGACTCTTGTGTGAAGCGAGAGTGTTCGTGATGTTATCCAGGGCCAAAGCCGTATCATTGGCTAGTTTCTGTACAGAATTCGATAAGCTTCTAACTTGATCAAGGGCCTGCATGACACCATAAAACGGGATTAATGTTCCAAGAGTTCTTGACCACCATGTTTGTGCACAAGTGAGTCCTGGAATGCAGCCATCTTCTGTGTTCGTGGTAGGAGCTGAATCACTTAAAAGTACTGGAGTGGATTTCAAGTTTTCTCTGACTGCAGGTAGGGCATAGACTAAGGTGCACCTGCCATTAAACTTGGCCGGTAGTACACTATAGATTGAGGTTCCGCATAGCCAAAACATGCCTGTTGGAGGGGGAATCCTGCACCATTGGTTCACACTAAATAGCTTGGGTAATGATCGAGTTTGCCTAATACATACTTCCACATCCTCATTCTTTTGTCGTGTGGATGATGAGATTTCTGTCTTCAGTGACATTCCCATTTTAATTATGAAACCACATGCAGCACTGGGAATTTTTCCCAAGTCTTTAGAGTCTGAGGATAGATATTCAACACACCGAAAGCTGCATTTGTGTCCTCTTTTCTGCAAATAGTCCAACAATACTGCCAATTCAGTTTGATGTACCTCGTGGTCTGTAGAGGCAATCAAAATATCATCGACATATTGAATCATAGTGGACTGTTTGACTGGACATTCTGGGTCACACAAATCACGTCTGACAGCCTGATGGTATAAGGTAGGAGAATTCTGAAATCCCTGTGGAAAACGTGTCCACTGGTACTGTTCATAGTCAACTGTGAAAGCTAACCATGTCTGGCTGTCAGGGCGCAAGGGTACAGAAAAGAATCCATTAGACATATCGATTACTGAAAAAATCTTACAATCTAATGGTAAGCCATTACAAATTGTAGATGGATCTGCTACTAGGGGGGTGATTTTATCAATATGTTTATTGGCTACTCTGTAGTCTATGGTGAGTCTCCATGTCCCATTGGATTTCTTGATGGGCCATATGGGTGAGTTACAGGGACTGTTGGTTTTAACTAGCACTCCTTGCTTCAGCAATTTTTCTACAATAGGTTTGATTCCCTGTATAGCTTCCTTATTGATCGGATATTGTTTGGTAACAGGAGGTGGAGTTCCTGTCAATTTGACTGGTTCTACGCCTGTCAAAAACCCGCAATCATCCTTGTCTTTAGCCCAAATTGGATGATTTTGTAAGAAAGCATACTCAGGAGTGGTTGCATTATTGGTAGAAACTTGTGCTGAGGAAATTTTTATGCTAGCAGATTCTGAGGACATGTCTAAAGTTAGATGTACTTGTCTCAGTAGATCCATGCCTAGAATTGCACCTGTATTTAATGGAGCACATAACAATTTTGTAGTCAGAGTTTTCGGGCCTAATTGTACCTCTATGGGCGGGGTTTCATAAAAAACAGAATCTTCACCTATTACACCAGTTAAACAAAGTTTAGTTTTCTTGTACGTGATGTTTAAATCTTTAGCCAATTTTGTAGGAATTACTGTAATTTCTGCACCTGTATCAAGCAAAAAGTCTATCTCTTTCTCTTGTATGCTACCCTTCACAAAAATTATTTTGTCATTGTGATCATTGGAACCTAGATTTAACATTTTATAAATTTGTAATACAACAAAAGTCATCAAGCCTGGTGAGCCGGCCAGAAGTAAAACAAATATGTTTTAAGTCCCACTGGCTCTTTTCCATTATTCCTTGAGTTTTATTGTCCTGTGTAATGTTCTTCTGAGAAAGGATACAAAGACGGGTGTATTCCAGACATAATTTAGCAGTACAACAAAATAAGAGTTCTGACACAATTTACTGTTATGGTACAAACTATATAATTACTTGTCTTGTAAGCTTTCTCAGGGCATTGTATCTCCTGGAGTACTGCTCATATTGTGGTCCTGTCCCATGTCGTCCAAGGTCACCTTTGTATTTAAAGAAAATGAAAAATTTTGTCAAATTGTCAGAAAACACACAGTCTGATATTTTAGTCCAAAAAGGGAAATGTGGCATAGTTATGACAAACCTAGCATTATCCCGGTCCATAATCCAGCAAATGGTAGAATGTATTTCTTGAGGTGATCGATAAGCCCTTTGCATTGGTACACATTGAGCTCTCCATGCTTGTCCAGCAGGGCATTTGAAATAATTGCATTGCAACGTTTTGCAAATCTGTTGCTTCCTGTAATGTCCTAAAAATAATGCAACAATGTGTTATTAGAGGTGTTTTACAGTTTTTCTCAGTTGCTTTGTAGCATTTCTCAGATCAGAAATGAATTTTCCAAAACTACTTGTTCAAACTCCACATCATGTAGTATCTTGTGCACATCATAAAAGCAATCTATCACTGCTTTTAACAAATTGTGAATACTTTTGTACAACCATTTAATTGACTGTGCACAACTGTCTGCTGTTTCCTACATCATCAGTTGTTTTTGTAATGCTGATCCAAAAATATTATACTGGTTCTCAATTAAAATTAAAATTTTTTAAAATGGATGAACAACCAGTAAACAAACATGGTCAAGAGCCAGGAATAATAATAATAATGCGTGATGGAAGGGTAGGGAGGCAAAACAGAGGAAGAGGAAGAGGAAGAAGATGCCAGAGACATAGACACATTTCAGATGAAATTATAGCCTCACAGTAGCCGAGGCAAGACAGAGGGTACAGCCAAATATTGGAGTTTATGCCACGATTGCAGGTTCTTGAAGTGCTTCTCAACACTTGCACCACAGGATGGACTGGAGAAGACAACTGTAGCGCTTTGAACCATGTCATCCAGTTCTTTTAAAGTTCTTGCAGTTGTGAGGGCACCAAAGACATGCATTGCCAGGTGGTAGTGGTTTGTTGCACTGTGGAAAGTAATATCATAATTGAATTCAAATTTGAAATTATGTACTGCTAGTTAATTTTTTAAGACTAACATGACAGCATTAAAGTCTTCTAAAATGTTTGTGTTTTGAAAATTACAGTTTACACTTGTCTAAAAGCAGTAGACTGATGTGCTTAATAGACATCTCTGTTATTATTTTTTGGTATGAGTAAAAGAGATGTTGCTGTTTGATGTTTGATGTTTGAAAACTTAATTCATCACATACAATCGTTATGAAGTTCGGAACTTAGCAACTGTCAGTAAAAGACAAATGTCATAAACAATATTTTTTTGAATGTATGCTACAAGGATTTTGCAGTAATAATAGGTTCTGCTTACTACTTTCTGCACATTTCCTTTGTGTTCTTTATCACATGGCTGAGGCATCTATGCAGAATCGGCACATCAAAATCTTCCTGTTTCCCTTTTCCAATTGCAATGTTGTAATAGTGGTTTATTGTGTCAGTCAGGTTTTTTTTGGCA